CTCTGTGAAAACCTGTCCCAGACAACTGTAACAAGGAACTGGGAATGCTTCCCAAGTGTGCCTGCTCCTTGCGGACAAGCCGTTCTTGCTCAAGGTCCTGGATAAGGCGTGGCTTCTTCGGCCTCCAAGAGCCTTGCTCCGTACCCACCCAGGCACTTTATACACGGACGTCCACAAAGTCCAAATTCCAGAGACTATCAAAGCACTTGTCCAAAACCGTCCTGAGCGAGCTCCTGCTCGCGCAGCTGGCGCTCCCGCTCCTCGATGCGCTTCCGACGCTCCTGCCTCTCCTGACCCCGCAACGGAAAAAAACGGCAAATTCCCGCTCAACAAATAGAAAGAACGAGATAGAACGAGCAAATGCAAGCACAAGAGCTCTCATTGCAACAAGTCTCTGGGCTCTGTGCATGTTTTGGTCAGGCCCACAAGGGCCGACTGCATGGTTTGCTCAAAGCATTCGGAATCAGTGATCACTTCTGCTGCAAAAACAAACATGAGGTAGGCTGCTTCTTCCTGCTCCCATCTATTGCAGGCTGCAGCTGCGGTAGGCAAGGGTAATTCTTGTGAACAATCCCTGGGTTAAAGGTTGCTATGTATGCATTGGCTGCAAACAGACCATTAACTGAGCTTGCCCTGAGTGAACTACCAGGCAGTCATTGCCAAAGACCCTTCAGCAGAGTGCTGCAAGAAGATATCTGCAAGCACCTCCTTCTCACCGTGACCCTGATATTTGGAGGTCGATCGAATCAGAACTGGCTCGTTGTAGACATTCCACCCCATCGTGACACCAACAAAACAAGAATATGTAGAACTTGAGCCTTGAGCCAAACCAGCTTACTAACCAGCTCAGGCAACGCCAACTGCCGCAACAACTGAAGCTCTGCCAAAATAGCTCTTCAGCTTGTACAGGGCTTTGTGACGGAGTCACAAATGCCTTGAACCAAGCAAATCCCTCGAAACACCTGGAACAAACACAGCAACGGAAGAAAAGAAAAAAATAAAAATAAAACGGCCTGCACCAAGGCCTCCAGCCGCCTCTCCCTGCGCTGTTCCAGCGCCCGCTCTCGCTGGAGCGCTGCCTCCTCCTCCACAGCCGCCTCCTCTGAGGCGAGCGCGCGAGGTCAGGCGCTCGATGAGATCTTATCAAAGGGATCTGTCCTAAATTTGTTGGTGTCCTTGCTTCCGAACCAACCGAAAGGTCTCCAGTTGCCTAATCCAAACCTGGTATCAAAATGGTCTACCAAGGAGCGTGTAAAGAAGTAAACGAACCGCACGCATTTATGGTTGGGACTATTGCTTGCTAACCTTCATACCCACGTTTTCATTGCGGCTCATTTGGAGAAACTCCCATCTGTGGCTTTATGATCTTGATTGTGTAGAAGCTGTTGCCCCGTTCGTGGTAGTACAATGCTTAAAAAAATCACATACTCTGGAAAGACGCGGAGGGCTGTCACAATCTGCCGAGCCCTTGGGCCTGAGGCGACTAGATCACTGGATCGAATCGACCGAGAGGTGAGCATAGTACAAGAATCAGTACTAGTTGGTACTTGAGGCCCCCCCCTCTGAGAAAAAACTAGTTAACTGATTGAAGCTAGCTTTCTGGAGCTGTTGAGTGTGGAGCGTGTGTTTGAGCACGTGTTGCTTCTCGTGGGCGTATGGGCGCTTTTAGCCAGAAGAGGTGTCAAAGTTCGCCTGCAGGGTGCTGCTGCAGGGTGCTGCTGCAGGGTGCTGCTGCAGGCGGTGACTCAGAGCCGCGCAAAGTGCTGGTGCAGGGAGAGGCGCAGGGTGCTGTTACAGGGTGCCTTTGCAGGGTGCCGCAGGCGCTGAGGGCACTGCTGCAGGGTGTTGCTGCTGGTGTTGACTTAGTTGCGCAGGAGGGTGCTGCTGCGCTCTTGCCAAGGCGCTGGCACAGGCTGCGACTCAGAGCTGCGCAGGGCGCTGTTGCAGAGGGCTGCTGCAGGCTGTGACTCGAAGTTGCGCAGGCGCTGTTGCAGGGTGCTGTTAAAGCAAAACTGCCTTGCAAAGTCCAAAACAACGTTGCGCGCGACATGTGTTCGCTCTGCGACGCGCAGCGGCGACCTCCGACGAAACGTTACCACGGCAACCTGCGCAACCCTTACAGTAGCAGCACCCGGCAGCAGCACACCCAGCAACAGATGCCCGGGCCCGCCCCAGCTACATCTCGCAACAGCATCTTGCGCCGGCGCTGCGCATTTTTATATCGCGGCCAATACCCTGCAAAAACAACCTGCAGCGGCACCTTGCGACGGCATTCTCCAGCTGTATGCCGGAGCAGCATGCGAGGTTGTGGTGCGCCTTTGCAGGCCAAGCAGCTACCGTTGCGTCACTCGAGCTGGTTTGCTAACCTGCTGCGGAAAACAATGTCGCGCACGACACTTTGCCTTGCCAAGCGCAGCAGCGGATGCAACCTGCTGCCGCAACCTGCGTAACCCTTTGCAACAGCACCAGCTTGACCCGGCAGGGCCCTCCGGTGGATTTGCATGTTTTCAGGGACAGACAGTTGTGTACGTCGAGCTGTGCTTTGTTGCCGGAAAATTATGCTGTGCATTTCGGCGGCGCAATTGCCTGATGCTGATTCAACCCTGACTCAAAGGCAAAATCTGAGGGGCCCTTGCGAATGGACCTTTAATTTGTCCCACTTCTGATATAGGCAATACTGTGAGTAGCGTTATGTTTTTTCAGGCACAGGTTCTTGGTACGCAGTAGTAGCCGCTGCATTGTTGCTGGAAAACACTGCTGTGTACTTTTTATCGGTAGAACTGCCTGATGCTCGTGCGTCCCTGCTTGTGTAAAATATAGCATTACGTGTTGTCAGGGACAGGTCTTTTGCAAGCTGCGTGGAGCTGCTTTGTTGCCGCAACATACTGGAGTCGTGTATTTTCGCGGCACAATTGCCTCGTGCGAGTCATCACTGATGCAGATTTGTGCAGTATGCTGCTGCTTTGCTGCCAGGATATACTGTTGTATATTTTGGCGGTAGGATTGCCTGATGCTTGTTTCGTCCCTGCTTGTTCTGCGTAAAACAACGCTGTGGTTTCAATTTTAGATGGAGACTTGTGCGGTATGCTGCTGGTTTGTTGCCGGAGATACTGTTAAGTGCCCCCGCGCTTTCTTGGCTGACAACACATTCTTGCTATTTGGGGTCTACGCTGGTATAATATTCAGCGCCAGCATCACCTGTCCGCATCGCCTGTTGAAAAAACTTGCCTGCTTCGAAAAAGCTCCGCATCGGAAGCATTTTCCACTACCACGCATAAAAGCACACACTAGATAATCCACAGCAGAAGCATCAGCTGCTCGCATCGCTAGCATCACCTGTTCCCACTGCCGCGCTTTGTAATTAATATGCTCCAGATCGCTAGCATCACTTGACCGCATCGCCAACATCAGTTTTGAAAAACTAGGCTGTTTTGAAAAAAATACACCAGCATAGACCCCAAATAGCGAAATGCGCGCTAACGACTGCACGCCAACACCTTTAACAGCACTGCCCGAAGAGCACCTCAAACACCCGCCGTCAATCTCGCAAAAACGCGCCCGCGCCATGTGCCCGCACCAGCACCCTGAACAGCACCCCCCAAATGCGCCCGCACCATCACCAGCACCTCAAATAGCACCCCAAACAGCATCCCAAAACAGCACCTGCGTGCGCCAGCACCCCGCACTGCATGCCCTCTAGCACCCTACCGTCAATCTTGCAAAGTGCGCCCGCACTGTGACCTGGCCGCCTAGCACCAGGCCGTCAATCTCGCAAAAGTGCGCCCGCGCCGTCACCAGCACCCAAGCAGCGCCCCAAACAGCACCCCGAAACGGCACCTGCACCAGCACCCAAACTGCATGTCCTAGCACCCTGCCGTCGTTTCCTTTCATTATTGGAAGTTAGAACCCCTATAGCTTTCAGCTATCTGGGGAAAAAACATCGCCAGCATCACCTGTCCACATCGCCGCCATCACGTGTTCACATTGCTGTTTTGGAACAACTCAGCGCTGGCCGCCGAGGCAGGTTGCGGTAGGATTAAGATTAGGGCTCTTTTCAGTATCCCCTTTTACAAGGAGGCATCAAGGTCCAAAAAGGAGGCCATATGTTTGACAACCCACACGCACACACGTGCTAAACCTCCGGACGACGACAAAGTTGCGGCTTCTGTTGCTCACATGAGAGCCCAATCCGTCCTCGCGCCAATGATCCTCCTTCTGCTGCATCTCCATCAGTTTTTGGTGCTCACGCTCCAGCTCCTGCATGGAGACCGTTGCTTCAACAGCCTGTGTCAAACTAGGGGCCCTCGCAAACTGGTCCCCTGCTCAAAAACACAGCGCCAACAAGCAACTGGACCTCATGGCGCTCCCCGCCAGGCTTCATGCGCCGCGCCTCTTGACGGCAGTTGGTGTTGAGCTGCTTCTTAAGCTCGTGAAGCCACTGCACCTCTCCGCGCTGCCTGTGGGAAGAGAAGCTGTCTTACTGATGTTTCTCAACATGGGAACCCCGAAAAAATCGCATGCTTCCTTTGGCTTCCCTTTAACACCAAAGGTGGCTCACCATTTTGAGAACCCCCACACCACACTTGGCCCTGGCAGGGGGGGTTCTCCGTGCGTTGAACTCTGGTGGCCTATGCTCCCCCGCCTGTTGGCCAAAGCCCTGAGGCTTTGCAGCTCTCGCTCCAGGCGGCGATTCTCCGCGTGTGCCTTGGCTGTCCAGACCAAGGCCTCAGCAGAGTCCATCGACTCTTCCCTTCCAATGGGTGGGTGATGTCTGCATCAAAATGGAAAAATATACCACAGTGTCTTCTCTTTTTTAGGGGGCGGCTCCTTTAATCCAAGCGGATAAGAACGCACACCCCAATCCACGGGCACAGAGTCGCACTGGGCACAACGCGGCAGTGTCGCTCGGGCCCTGAGCTGCGCCTCAGGGCCAGCGCGAACCCACGAGTTGGGAGCCTCTCAACGGGCCTTGCGGCACTTCCGGCAAGACTTCCTGCGAGTCTTCCGGCGCTTCCTGCCTCATACGAAACAAAAAATCAGCCTGTGACTTTTTGGCATGTTGCGCTAGCCGGCACTTGCAATGTGCGTTGTTGATGCTCGCTGAGTTCCTCTGAAACTGCTCTTATCCACTCGTAACCAAGGTTCGTCAAACTGGCAGACCGAACTGGTGGCATATAAGAACGCATAGCAGCGCGAGCAAATGACTAAACAATAGCATATTCTTGTGCACGTATATACAAGCACCAAATGCTGTGTGGCTGCGCAACGCAGTCAGCGTGCATTGCATCTCTAGCTGTGCCCCGGGCCCTGCTTCGGCCTCTGCTGCCTTCAACTCTTCCTGGACAAAAATGCTTGAACTCGACCTATCCACAATCTTTTGTACATGAGCACAATCAAAAGTGAGTACCCTGATCTTTTGGTCGGAGATTTCGTGAGTTCCTCCCTCGTGCCATGTCATGGCCAAATGGCAGCAAGGCCCTGCGGTCGAGAAGCAAGCTCTTGCCTCAGAATTTGTGATCGACAAACCGCAAATTCCCGGCCAGAAATCCCGCCGAACACGCGCTGCCCTTATTTTCATCAATGAGGCGCTGGCCGAAGTCGCTCCGTCTCTGCCTGGGCTTCTTTGAGCTCCTGGGCGCGTGCTCATAATGGGCTCTCAGGGTAAGGTTTGGTCGAAAGCTCAAGCTTGAAGGTAAGACAAAGCTCCTCTGCCACAGAGCCGGGAGCATGGGATGTCCGGGAAGGAGATGTCTTGCCACGCACTGCGCGAGGCTCCACGGCGCGAGGTTCCATCACCTAGCACTTCCAGGGCTAGAGTTGCCTCTTTCATTCGTAACTTTGGATGTGTTCACGAAAATCCATTTCTAGCCTGTCTTATCCAAAGCATTCCGTGCCTCGGTCTGGGGAATCTCGCTGTCATCTAGAAGCACTGCCTGAAGAAGGCGTGTGCGTTCACTCAAAGTATTTGAGCCAAAAGCCTGCCAGGTACCCCTCAGCGCCGCACGCGCAGAAGGGTATCCACCAGGCAAAGGCAATCGCCTCGGCTTCGACTTTTCTGGAGGCCCCCCGAAGCTCCCTCAGACGCTCAGACTTGGGCACGCCGAGAGGCACATGCTCCTCAATAAACAAACTGAGTTCTCGTCTAGACACAGGGGCCGAGAAGCCAAGTAAGCCACTCTCCTGTTCACGTCGAACAAGGTGTGCGCGGCGTAAGTCTGCATCCTCAGTGTTCCAATCCAAAGGACATCGATTTGAGACAGATGTAACTTTGGATTTATCCGGAGGACCGTGCTAATCAGGGATGGTCCTTATAGCGGGGAAATGAGCTATTTTTGGGAGTTCCTCTGACTGGCAGGGCCCTCGACCTTTTTGTTCATCAAGTATACCTCCAGCAGTAGATGAAGTAGGCAGTGCATTCATATACTGTGCAAAACCAGGAGTGAAACTCAGTTTGGCTATTCGGTCTCAACTTGGCTCAAGGACAGTGGAGCCACTATACAAGGCTATTTCCGACATTTTGCGGTTGCACTTGTACCGGCATTGCCTGCGGACAGTAGTTGAAGCTCTGTCCTGGCAAAAGACCCTCTGGGACGGTGACAATCTGAATGCCCATCGCAGTTGGAACCTGCATCTGCTGCCCTGGCTGAACACCCGGAGGAACCGTGACCATGATGGGCATTGGGCTCACACCGGCCATTGGCATGGGATGCATAGGCATGACGGGCTGCATGCCGAACTGCATGCCGAGCTGCATCCCAGCCAAGGGCATGAGGTGCTTCGGACCGAAAACAATCAGCCGAGCTGTTGAAGCGCCTTTGGGCTTGGACAACGTGGTATTGCGGGTGCGGTACTCCACAGTCATCTCTCCCCCCAGGCTGCTTTTGAGTCCTTCACAGAGCTCATGGATCTGTTCGTCAAGCGCGCAGTTCTTCTTCGCCATCCAGCACAGGAAGTAAACAACGCCCGCAAAACCCAAGACGAAGAGCCCCGTGCTGACTCCGATGGGCACGAAGACGATCATGTCAAGACCCGCCAAGAAATAGATGAAGAGAAATCCATACGAGAGCACGACAACGATCGGAAGATACAGTGCCCAGGCAAAGTTTTCGGTCCAGTACATGCTCACAACGGAAGCAAGCTGGCCTTCAAATTCGGTCCAACGAGAATCCTCCACCATCGAAAGACACTCAGGTTTGGGAGTCGCATTATCCAACCTAGGCTTTGTAAAGCACTCGCCACGAGGCACTTGCAATCCGATCATCGCACCACCCGGAGGGACTTGAAGAAGGTGAGCGTGAGCGTTTATGGTATACATCTTGCTAGCAGGCAAACAGCAAAGATTTTGAGCCAAAAGCACCTTGGAACTGCAGTCTGCCTCTTCAACTGCGAATTTGTTGCGATCAAGGCTCTGCAGGCTTGCTCAGCTTTGAAAAGCCAGATTAATATCAACATCAATAGGCTTAGCAGCAGGCTCCGCAGGTGGTACCAAACCAAGCTGGATAAATACATTCATCACCTCGCTTGCTCTGACATACCCAGCAAACGGACAAAAGGCGCCTTGAACAAAGGAAATATCTGGGCTTTGGGCGAAATCCCGAATTCCCCCGTTGCTCCATGTCAGAAAGCCACCTGGGCTGGCAAAAGCCATATGACAGCTGGTTGGACATATTCCTGCTTAGGCAAAGGCAACCGTCGCGATCACTCCTTAAACTAAGCAAACCAAAAGCTGCTTGAGATGCCAAACTTTGAAGGAAGGCTCAATGCATCCGAAGCACTCGCGAAAGACTTGAAGCGCTGTCCGAACCTGCTAACGTGCCATCCACTCCCAATCTTTGTGGAGCTTGCGAACTTGGGCCCGCGTACAAGATGTGCAACTCACCAAGAACAAATAGATAACATGCCCCGTCAGAACGCATCCGAGCTGATATTTCACACAGAATTGAATGTCCACCATACCTTCTTCCTTTGTTGCGAGCTGTCTGCCAGTTGGGCTGTGGCCCTGGCGTGAGAGCCTGACTCGAGGGCCTGCAGCATCCTTGGCCGTGACCTGCAGCGAAGTCAATTGGAACTTCCACCTGCTCTCGCATTCCGATGGAACTGTTGCATACTGCATGCTGGCTTTCTATTTAGCTCATGCAGCTTCGCGATGATTCTTTGCCGCTTCTTTGCTGCGTGTTCCCCCTGCTTGCTTGCACCAAGTTGTAGAAGCAATGAAATCCATGAAAAAGCAGCAATGATGTGAGTGGGATGGACCTGCATAAGCAACGGCAAAGACTGGAAGGGCCAGGAGGCAGAAGCAAGCAAGGCATCCGTCGGGCCTAGAAGCAGCGCATTCAGAGGACATCAGTAGCCTCAGCCCTTTGCTCCGCAGACTCAGCCAGCCTAAGCCAGCCAGCTTCACGCGCCTGAGCCAGGCGTGACATCTGTAGCCTTGCTCCTCAGGGCTCAGCCCCACTTCAATTCAGCCCAGCCTGGATCTGAGGGCTCGGGACCTTTCCCCATACTCAGCTCTCAGCTCCCAGACTCAGCCCCAGCCCCCAAAGTCAGCCAAACTCAGCATAAGCTAGCCAGTTCATGCTTCACCCAGCGAGACAGGCCCCCACCGGACTACTGAGCCCAGCTCCGGCATGGCCGAGGCGCGCAGGGCGTGGCGTTTACAATAAGCAGAGGCAAGATGGGGCAAGAAGCAAGAAGCAGCCAGCACCAGTGAAAAGCAACGAAGCCATAGCGTTGAAGCGCATTTTATTAAACCGTGCTCCCAGTCTACATTGCCGACCAGTCCTTGAAAAGGAAAGCTGATGTGGAAATTAGTGTGGTCTACTGTGATTGTTGGCCTGCCCGTCGCAGCTTCTCTAACAGTGGCTGTGCCCAAATCACGCCAGAGTCGCTGGGAGTTGGCAATCGCAACCACTTTCATGACCTGACGTGGCCGCAGAGCTTGCTCTCGCCACAGCTCTCTGCAGATTGAGGATCTGGCAGGAGCCAACTCTGTGAAGTCAACATTGGCGCCACCTTTGGCGGAGAATCGCTGAACTAGGTAGAACCTGGTATCTGCTTTGACCTGCTCTTAATTGGTGCCGACTTTCCATACTTAACAGTGTACAAACAAAATGCTCCAGGCTCGCCAGCGACAAATGAATTGAGTGTAGCACCGGGGTACACCAAACCTCAGTGTGGAGAAGACCGCAAGAAGTCGTAAGGCATTGCTTCTTGAACTTGATTGTGCATCTCCAGCTCCGACGAATAAGCCTTCTGCAAGCGCACTAGGCAGCTGACTGCGCACATGTTTTTGTGGCCTATAGCTTCGCAAGTAATCCTGGCAGCAAATGCCATGCTGAAACGGATGCTCCGGAAGCTTCTACTCGCATCTCTCTTGGCCTCGGCAGCCATGATTGGGCCACTTTTCAGCACCTCCGAGAACGGATGGCGACGGATGCGCCACTCTGCGACTCTCGCGGCATTGGGCCCGGTGCTTCTGGAAGACGCCGCCTTAGATCCCACGACACTTGCCATGTCGCAGCCAAGGCGCGAGATAGGCACAGCCAAGGCGCTCAAGCTCGCGCTGGGGTCCTCGGAGAAGCTCAGAGCGACCGGAGAACCAAATTTCCGCGGGAGCATTTGAAGCTCTCGTCACCTCTCCGTTCCAAGCTCACTTACGTCTTTGGGGCGAGACGCCCTCTGAGACGCCAACTGAAGCTTGGCACCTCAGATCGCCAAGCCAAATCGAATTTCACACCTCTGACAAGCCAATCTGATCCCAATGGTTTTTTCCAGGACAAGGCCCGAAAACCCCAAACTCAGGCAGCTGCCTGGCTAGCTTCCGGCCTTGCCGTGCTCGGTGTCCCCATCCTGCGCATTTGCTTTTCAACTCCTTCACTGGGCCATTGCTCCAGCTCTGGCTCCTGTCTTGGGATGGAATGCTCGCACTTCCCTGGCAAGGAACTTTCTATAAAGTAAAAGACCGGCATTCCAAGCTCAATTATATACCATCTTAGATCTTTGCCTGACTGGCCGACATGGACATGTTCAGCATTTGGCTAATGTCCACTTCTGGCCTTAAGAATTTGGCTCAAGCTTCAGCAAAAGCAAAGCGTGAGCAAAATCCATTTTCTGGTAGCACGATGCTCTGGCTCTGAGCCACTGAGCAAGCCGACTCGTCCAGCCTTTTGAGATTGAGCGCCTAAACAACAGAGCAGCAAGTAAAGCAGAAGATGACAGATCGCCAAACTGTTGAACGGTTGAAAGATCTGTAAATCAAAATATAGCAAAGCCTTAGCATCCATCCAACAGGATGTGTTTGGAATTCATGAAATTCGCTGTTTCCCCCGTAGGTGTCAGAGACAATCAGTTAAGGAGCCAGCTAAGCCGCTGGATTGCAGTGTGTCCAAAATGTCTTTGTCCTGCTTGGCGCTTACACCTGTGCTTGAAGGATTGCAATAGAGGATCAGCTGTGCCCTGCGGCATGTGGCCTGCCAAATGAGTCAGACCTGAGCGGGGAATATCCAGCTTTCCCAAGCAATTGAGATCCCATGAATGCATTCCGACACATGACTAGGTGTCCGGCTGCTGACGGGCTCCACTGGCACATTGGTAACCGGCTCAATCGGCTTGCCTGCTACAGGCTCCAATGGCATTCCAGTCGTGCTGGAGGAAGCGCTGCTCGTCACCGGATATCTCGGCCTCAGTCGCTGAGGCAGCAAAAAACAAGCTCATGCCGCGTTCTACAGCATCCAAAAAACAGTCGAAGGCAAAATGGCGCATGCCTATGTTGCTTTCAACTGGCCCTAAAATGCCCAAGTGTGCGTTGGCTCTAAGTGCATCCTGGTACCGGGTTTTTAACACTTCCGAGGCTTCCAGGGGCCAACTAGCGAACTGCAATGGAAAACACACGCCGACACACACACACGCACACACTTGTAGAGACACACACACCGGTGTCCCCCCCCAAACTACAACAGCTTGGAGTCCCGGCTCGCCTGCCCAGGCCTCCTTGTCCCCCGATGCCAGGCTTTGAGAGCCTGCAATCATTCCGGAAGATTTTGGTGAGGCGATGTTCCAACGTAGATTGAACGGGACACAAGAAACAAGCAAGTTGCCGGATGACACTGCATCTGTTAAAAGCAGTTCAATGCAATATGCAAGCGATCATGGAGTGGGATATGTTCAGGACTTGTGCGGTTCCTCTATTCTTGACGAGATGTCGAGTGGACCCAACTCTCTGCACAAGCAAGGCCACAAAGAAGCCTGGCATCCAAATAGGCGCCACCTCGAGGTGTGGTCGAGCCTCAAGTCTTCAACATTTGTCATTTGTTTTCTTTGCAACCATACCCCTTATGCCCAAGTGGCGATACCCAGCGGCGGCGCCAAAGCTTTGGGTGCCAGGCTAGGCCTGGCCATCTTTGGCAGAACTCAAGCATGCAAAAACCATGGCGAATCATGCTTTACCATGAACGCATTGGCACATGTCACATGCTGGCTGACGGGATTGATGGATGAGAAGAGCTCATCGCTGGCAGCTGTGGCATCCTGAGCTCTGAAATCACTGAAATCTATGAAGCCTCCAGCCTCTTGAAGTGCGAGTCCGCATGAAGAACCACAGCTTAAAGCCAAGCAGCTGCACAGGCTGTAGATTAGGCATGCTCAGGTGCATCTGCGGCAACTGCACAGGCTGCAAGCCGAAGTAGGATGGCTGCTGCCTAGGCTCTTGAGACCGTGCAAATCCACAGCACCAGGAAAGTTTCAATCCGGAGCCAAGGGACGGCGGCTGCATCGGGTGCTGGTGGTGCTGCGGATACATGCCCAGCTCTGGCGGAGGATAGGCACCCAGCTCGGGACGTGGATAGCCGCTCATGTCAGCTGGCGGAAGCCCCAAAGACATGAAGGAACCATCGAAGTGGTTCGGCATCGGATAAAAGGACTGGCTGTCGGAGATGTCGAGCGTGTTCCTTGGCATCTCAGAAGCGTCTAGAGTGGACCACTTGCGCAAAGTGAAGGGTCCCGAGTTCCCATGGTGTGGAAACAAGCCAAGCTTCGCATGTTGCTCTTGCTGCAGCTGCTGATAGAGCTCTTGCCTGCAAGTGGGCAACGGTTCTCGCAAGCAAACTCCAGCCAAAGCCCCTGCATGACGAAAAACGGAGATTCTCGAATATGCGAGAACATGCAATCAGTACACACTGCTTCGGATTGGCCCGAACTTTCCTTCCACAAACAACTGAGCAGCGCCCAAAACCCATTGACTTCTGAGTCTACCAACATGGTTGTAAAGATCTGTACGGCCCTTACTACAACACCTCTGAAGCAGGTATCATCTGGAAATGAAGCACCATGTGGCATCTTATTGTCAGATGACAGTGATTTTCACAGGTGCTCACCTATGCACAATGAGCATCTTCTTGAGTGAGGTCTTGACTGCTTGATCTCAAGGGATGAGGACCAAACAGTGTTCAACGAACAAAGCATGTGATCATAGCACATCGCTAGACACACACTTGAAAAACAAGCATGTCAAAGACATGTTTGACCTGGCTGTGGGAAAGCAGTGGAAGAATGAAGATATTTCTTAAGGTTGGGCTAACAAAGCAAGAGGCCAGCGCTTTGGCAAGCAAAAGGAGAAGGCCCGGTCCAGGGGGGCACTCAGAAGGGGGTTATTTGGGTCAAAGTTACTGATAGAATCGCATGTCAACCCAGGTTTCTTGCTTAAGCAAGTGGAAACTTCAGGCAGCTTGAGCTAGCTTTCATCACCCTGAGGCGCCAACCCTCGCATTTGCTGCAGCCGCAAGTGAAGCTGCTGCTGCCTTAAGCAGAAACACCGTCTCGACGCAGACGCAGACCTGTGGCTGGGGTCCCAGCTCTTGCTGCGCCTGGCGCTGCAGCTCCTGGCACCCAGATCTCGAAATCCGCGCGCTCCCGGCGCCTTCCCACTCCGCGCGCGCGCGGCCGCGTTTCGGCCTGCAGCTTGGCGGTGCACGCGTCCGCGCTGTGCAGATCCAGCGGGGCAATGGCCTGCGCGCCGTGCCAAGCCACACGTTCCGGGCCTGGCGCAGCTGTGCCTGGCGCGGCGCCTCCCTGACGTCGTAGAAGGCAGAACCTCTCGCCTGTTCTGGAAGAGCCAACCGCTCTGGCCACGAATTGCTCCCGGCCTCCAGGTCGTTTGCCTCACAAAGTGGCACAACCGGAGACACAGCTTCAAACGGCTTGTTGCAGCAGGTAACGGGAAAACCCTCGCGTTAAATTGAAGAGAGAAGCTTGTTTCCCCGCATTGTTCTAGCTGGAATGCCTGGGGTGGGCAGAAGGAACATCGTTACTGTTGATCGGTGAAACCCTTGCAGTGAAACGACTTGCAAAATAAGTCAAGGACCTGCTGGTCAAAATGCAGCAACACTGGCAAAAACTCCCCGCACGCACACAATCTGATGTTTGCCATGCCACTGGAATGTCGCGTGGCAAAATCCGCGGTGCCTCCCAAGTCATGACTCATGGCACCAACTCTATCTCAGCTCCTCAATGATGCTGCAGCTTAACTCACTTCCACTCATTTCCAGCCTCCAATTGAGGAGCCTTTGGCAAGCACGTCTGAGTCTTGAGATAACAGATATGTTTCGCTCGTGGCCTGCATCACAGTCAGAGCGCATCCTCAAGGGTGCTGGGCACCTCAGAGACAATCTATGCGACGTCCCCACACCATGTTGAGCCTTGCAGTCTCGTTTGCCAACGTATATGTCAGCCCCAGCTGTGCTACTTGTCTCTGGTTGTGGCTTTTTAGATCCAAACATTTGCACCGCGAGTGAGGTGCGCTGATGTATGACCATTTCCAAAGTGAGTGGGTCGACTGCCTGATGAAGCACGCCGATGTGCAGAACTGTCCAAGCAGCTTCATCCAAGGCACTACTGGGCATCTTCAGCCGGCCATTGAATGCGGCAACATTACTGTCAGTTCCATGTGACGCGTCATGATTTCCCTCTCACAATGCAAAGCATAGAACAAGACCCAAGGGATGCAGCTCCTGCAACATGAGCTGCGCATGCTTTCTTTTGCATGTTGACTGAAGCTTCAAGGCTCATCGGCAAGCAGTGCCCTCAGCAAACCCCATGCAGAAGCCAGTGGCGCGCAGCTGGCTGCTTTTTCTAAACCGCTACATTCATGTTCCGGGTCTGCCCTTAGGTCAAACCAAGCTCCGCGGGCGCGGCGAAACTACAGCTGACTGATGCCACTGTCTGCTAAAATATACGAGTTGTTTATTTTCTTGCCTGAGTTATTGCTGCCAGACACAATGCAAGATGGCACAGCCCCACTGGGAAATGCCGAATAGAATCACAATCACGCGGACTGTCCAAGTAGCTATGCTCGTGACATGTCGAACAAGGCCAAAACCGGTGCCAGCTCAACTTGGCTCGAGCACCATAACTTGGCCCGAGCATGCCATAAGAGCATTTGCAAGATCAGCAAAGTCCGACGGCCAATGGACAATGACAAAGCGGTTGGATTGTTCGATTGGCCGCTCGCGACTTTCTGAAGCACCACCGAGTGAGAGGGGTTGCTCTGTACAGGTTGAAAGCCTTGAGGAGTTACTCCAATTATCGACACCGGGATACATGCATCCCATTTCGCACAATAAATCGATTCTTGAGAACCGAGCGAATGTGAAACGAAAGCAAGATCCTCAAGCTGAATCATTCATATCACTCAGAACGGCCGTTAGATCATCAAACGGGCTAGCAGCTGTTGGACAAGTCTGAAGAATGAACAGCTTGGGTTACTTGCCATGTTAGCAACTCTCTTGGTCGCTGCTTCACAGCGGAAAAAACAGGCTGGAAGACTTGACGTCTGTCGAACTAGGATTCACCGACTTGCTATTGGAAATCTACACAAGATGGCTGTCTATCGGCAGCCTCTGCAAGTAGCCGATGTGTGTGTGTGTGGCACGCACGCCATCTAACAAGAACGCCGCTCCACGGCGAAGATCAAACGCTAATGAACCTGCAAAACGATGCACACAACTCGAGAGCCAACTCAGACACAATGCGAGCTGTAGTCGCGTGTTTCAACAAACTAAACGGGCCTGCCTGAGACGGCAGCTATCCATGATGCTCCGCAAACTTGAGGACTCAGCGCAAAAAAAAGCACAACTTGCAGAGATTGCCAAGTCACATGCTTTCCATGTATTGCTTGATTCTGAGTCCTTCACCTTTGTGATTGGCTCTGGTTCCATTTCCCGAAGGAATTCCTAGAAATGCAAGAACGCCAAGGCATTGCATGCCTCAGCAAATCAATGAACAACAACCTAAGTGCTTGCTGCCTCTGGTTCCTTGTTGTACTCGCAACTGCAGTAAGTTTGGACAAGATCCTTTTGCTACATAGTCTGCTGACAAAGCTGAAGCTCGTTGGAGGCAGGGCAACCAAATGGATCGACGGCTACGTTCGCAGGTGTGCGAGTTTGCACGTTGGGTCCTCCTGCACAACGGTCTGCACCGTGCCAGGCCGGCATATGCGGGTCCAACCATGGAACGCCTTCCTGGAGAAGGAAGGTGCTTCCACAGACAAGCGGAAAAGCAAAGGCATGGCTGAGCTTTGCACACCGCAAGCTTTGCCAGCCACGTAACTACTGACATGTCTTTTCTGCGGCAAGGCTCCCATCGACCTGATGGTGCGCAGCTGCATGAGCACCTTCCGGCATGTGAGTGTGGACACTGTAAATGGAAGGCGGGCCGGGGGGAAAGAAGCGATCCGCTTAAACCAATGGTAGTGGAAGAAACCACCATACACCGAGAAACCAAGAGCGCCAACTCCCTTTCTTTAGTGTTGGCGACTCCACCAATGGACAATCTGCTTGCAAAAGGATGCACCATCAAAAGCCCAGCCTGCCATCACGCCGGTCCTGGCAGTGACTCAAAAAAGAAGCCTGTCAGTTGTTTACGCTATTGTACTGTATTCGTTGATTGAAACAGCTCAGCTTGGCTTAGGTTAGTTTCAGAAAATGAGGTAGCGTCGTGGATTGAGGCCAGCCACGTATAGCTTATCTTAATCAGTCCGCTTGGTCAATTCATGTTGCGGTAATCTTATGTTTGTCTAGCGGCTTTAGTTTCGGGAGCGACCTAGTTAGCTTTGTTGTTCACTTTGCTTTGCTGAGTCTGGTCGTTTTGTGCTCTGAATCTAAGTAGCGGAGCCACTGATAGTTCGGCTGTGCTTCGCCTGCTTTCGTTTATTCTAGCTCAGGGTGGTTCTGTGCGGAAAAAAATAATGAGCAGTTGGCGGTTGAAACTAAGCTGAGGCAAACTTGTTCATTAACCTAGACCGGCTTAGCTTCCCGAAGTATAGGTATCTTAGCTTAGACCAGCTGGGCTTAGCGCAGCTTTGCTCGGTTAATACTAGCAAGGCTTGTCAAGTTCACTGCTGCTAAACTGTTTGGATGAGAAATGTTGTTTATTGACATAGGTTCAGTTCAGTCAGGTCAGTCATGAGATGAGTCTATAGATCTACATGTCCTTCATAGAGTAATGGGCCAAGCTACGTCAAGTTGTTGAGTTGATATAGTTAGGAAATTGAGCCGGTTGGTGCAGGTAGGTTGCATTTTAAGCGTTGCCTAACTATCAAGCCGTTTTACTGAATCGTTTGAGTCAGGGTTCTGGGCAAAATTGATCAAGTTCAGCTCACCTCAACAAGTGTGTCTAGATCCGTGACGATTGAATTAGGTCTGGTCAGTTCCTTTCGCAAGGTCAACTCTCATGTATGTAGAGCGTGCAGCAGGTAGCGTTTAGACTAGTTTGGCTAAGCTCAGCCCAATCTATGCACGTGTAGCTAGTTGAGCTTGGCTCAGTTGGGATAGCTTGCCCAAGCTTGGTTCCATCAGGCGAGTTAAGTCTTGCGAAGTGTCTCTAAGGATACTTGAGTTACGTGTGGGTTGACTTCCTGACTTAGCGTCCAAGAGATTGATTGAGGTTAGTCGGAACGGTCGAACAATGATGAATCATTGGCTGCGCCTAAGAAGCGAGAAACTCTGCCAGCTATCTGGGCAACAATGCATGTTGGATGGCTGCAAGAGATCGTGGCCACGAAAAACATGCATAATATGTACTTGTGTCATGGCTAGCACTTGAGTTGTCTAAGCTTAGATGTGGCCGAGCCTGCCCATACCTCCCTGGCAATGCAGTGCGATTGTTCTTTTCCGCTTCACTGCCACTTGGCCTGGAACAAAGCACACAGTGTCAATCCATGTGACCTTATCACACATGGTGTTTCTGCATAAGCAACTGGCAGGACTTCAAGAACTCCTTGACCACAGCCTCAGCAAAGCTCTGCAAATCTGCGAATTTGTGAATCTGCAAACCTCTGGGCTCGCCTTGTTTGGGATGTTGCCATCCTGAAACGGAACCTTTTTGATCTTGATGCCGTTGGCTGCAAAGGCCTGAGGACATGCGCTGGAAGCCCGGCCCAGAAATTGCATGCATGCGCAAATTGTTGCTATTTGATTCCTGCCAACTTGCAAGAAACAAACACATATCATGGAAAGCCAGGACTTGTGCATTGTCATGTTTCGTGACAAATCCGCCGACAACAAACGGCGTGTTGGCAGCTTTCCTCCTTACCTGTTACCCTTCCCCCGGTACAAATCCGGACTTGCAAAGGGGTGGGAGGGGGGGGTTGAAATTGGCCTTGTACCACTGGGTGACTGCCAAACGGTCCCCCTTTCTACGGCGAAAACCTTCAGCCACCCCAGCTCAGTATCACCAGCTTAGCATGACTAGTATCAACAGAATGACATACCCGAAGTCAATCACTAGTTTTTGTTTTGGGGGGGGCATTTCCGAAATGACCGAGGAAATTGCAAGCAAAAAAACCTGATAGGCATCGCCGGCAGGCAAACAAAAACACGAACAAAGGGAGGCAAACCAAAGGTCCCTACTCAAGTCCTGCGGGGGCCTTTATGAAGGAAAGAGTGAAGCAGGAAAAATGAACATGGTGGCATCGCAGTACACCACCCCGCACGTTTTGCGCGTTTTAAGTGTTAATTTATTGAGGCTGACAATCCTTTCAGTGCTTTGCGTTCCCCCCCAATTCTTATTGGTGGGGTGGCTCAAATACACTCCGTTTACAAATTCTCCAGGCATCTTCAGCCCAACGACTCGGATTTTCGCATTTTCATGGGCTTGCAAACAAAACGCGCTCGCATTTCGAGACAATCTGTTCGCGCTCTTTTTTTTGTGCAATGCAAGTCAAGTTGCCCTGTGCAAGTTGCTCTGAGCAAATTCTCCAAGTGTCCAATTCAGCGCGACAAGGTTGTGGCATAGGAGCCAACAGGCACTTGCGCCATATGTGTTGCACACATGCGCTTTGAAGACATGATGAACACTTGCAAGCGTGTAAGTCCTTCATACGCGTAAAACCCCAAGGCGGGCGGAACTAACTGTCAATTCATCTGCGGCGTTGTCACAGCGCAACAAACAAAACCTGCGACTAGTGAGTGAGTTTGTGAGTGGGTGGGTGGGTGGGTGAGTGAGTGAGTGAGTGAGTGGGTGAGTGAGTGAGTGAGTGAGTGAGTGAGCGGGCGCGTGAGTGCGTGAGTGCGTGAGTGCGTGAGTGCGTGAGTGTGTGAGTGCGTGTGTGAGTGCTCGAGCGCGTGAGTGCTTGAGTCCGTGAGTGCGTGCGTGCGCGCGTGCCTGCGTGAGCGCGTGAGTGAGTGAGCGCGTGAGCGCTTGAGCGCGTGCGCGCGTGCGTGCGTGCGTGCGTGCATGCGCGCGCGCCCGCGCGCGTGAGTGAGTGAGTGAGTGAGTGAGTGAGTGAGTGAGTGAGTGAGTGAGTGAGTGAGTGAGTGAGTGAGTGAGTGAGTGAGGTGGGTGAGTGAGTGAGTGAGTGAGTGAGTGAGTGAGTGAGTGAGTGAGTGAGTGAGTGAGTGAGTGAGTGAGTGAGTGAGTGAGTGAGTGAGTGAGTGAGTGAGTGAGTGAGTGAGTGAGTGAGTGAGTGAGTGAGTGAGTGAGTGAGTGAGTGAGTGAGTGAGTGAGTGAGTGAGTGCAGTGAGTGAGTGAGTGAGTGAGTGAGTGAGTGAGTGAGTGAGTGAGTGAGTGAGTGTGAGTGAGTGTGGTGAGTGAGTGCGTGATTGCGTGAGGGCGTGAGTGCGTGAGTGGTGAGTGCGTGACGTGAGTGCGTGAGGGCGTGAGTGCGTGAGTGAGTCGTGAGTGCGTGATGCGGAAGCGTGAGCGAGTGAGTGAGTGAGTGAGTGAGTGAGTGAGTGAGTGAGTGAGTGAGTGAGGAGTGAGTGAGTGAGTGAGTGAGTGAGTGAGTGAGTGAGTGAGTGAGTGAGTGAGTGAGTGAGTGAGTGAGTGAGTGAGTGAGTGAGTGAGTGAGTGAGTGAGTGAGTGAGTGAGTGAGTGAGTGAGTGAGTGAGTGAGTGAGTGAGTGAGTGAGTGAGTGAGTGAGTGAGTGAGTGAGTGAGTGAGTGAGTGAGTGAGTGAGTGAGTGAGTGAGTGAGTGAGTGAGTGAGTGAGTGAGTGAGTGAGTGAGTGAGTGAGTGAGTGAGTGAGTGAGTGAGTGTGTGTGAGTGAGCGGAGTGAGCGGAGTGAGTGAGTGAGTGAGTGAGTGAGTGAGGGAGGGAGGGAGGGAGGGAGGGAGGGAGCGAGCGAGGGAGCGAGCGAGCGAGGGAGGGAGTCAGTGAGTGGAGTGAGTGGAGTGAGTGGAGTGAGTGGAGTGCGTGGAGTGAGTGGAGTGAGTGGTGTGAGTGGAGTGAGTGACTGAGCGGAGTGAGTGGAGTGAGTGGAGTGAGTGGAGTGCGTGGAGTGAGTGGAGTGAGTGGAGTGAGTGGAGTGAGTGGAGTGAGTGGAGTGAGTGGAGTGAGTGGAGTGAGTGGAGTGAGTGGAGTGAGTGGAGTGAGTGGAGTGAGTGGAGTGAGGGGAGTGAGTGGAGTGAGTGGAGTGAGTGGAGTGAGTGGAGTGAGTGGAGTGAGTGGAGTGAGTGGAGTGAGTGGAGTGAGTGGAGTGAGTGGAGTGAGTGGAGTGAGTGGAGTGAGTGG